GATCCGCCCCATTTAGAGCATGGTGCTGGTGATGCCAAGGTTGCACGGGACAGCTATTCCTGCATGGAAGAGGGGTGGACTGGATGATCCTCAAGATCCCTTCCAAGTCTACAATTCTGTGATCCTCTTCTCCCAGGCCTTGGGCTAATTAAACCCCCTACGGCCTTTTAAACTGTGTGTGGAGGTATTGCTTTTGTTCGTTATCATGTTGTGCATTTATGTGTATTCTATTTTGCAGCCCACCCTGTGATCCTCAGATGAAGGGCAGTATAAAAATTTAATAAATAATTATAATAATAAATGATCTATGCAAATAAAAATGGGAAAGAAACAGCAGGAACGCAAGTTTGTCTGTGGGTGAATAATGCCAACTACATAAATCTACAGTGGTACCTCGGGTTACATACTCTTCAGGTTACATATGCTTCAGGTTACACACTCTGCTAACCCAGAAATAGTGCTTCAGGTTAAGAACTTTGCTTCAGGATGAGAACAGAAATCGTGCTCCGGCGGAGTGGCAGCAGCAGGAGGCCCCATTAGCTAAAGTGGTGCTTCAGGTTAAGAACGGACCTCCGGAACGAATTAAGTACTTGACCCGAGGTACCACTGTATTATGTAAAACTTCACTTGCTAAGGCTGCAATCCAAACACACTTACTTGGGGGGGGGGGTAAGCCTTGTTGAAAACTGTGGGGCTGCCCTGAAGACATGCACAGGAATTCTTCTGTTATGAATGGCAGAGCTCCATCTTGGCTTCCGAAAGCCAATGCAACAAAACGTAATCATCCCTAAAGCGTGTTTGTCTTTGGATTCACTGTAGCAGTACGTAAGTATCTGGAACAGATTGTACCACCAGCCTCTGTAAGGAATACAATATTACACGTCCGCAATCTCTTTACGGTGCCCCCGGTGAGAAGGCATGCAAGGGAACAGAGTTACACAAAACCAGAGGGAGCTGCCATGCACAGTGGTACCTCAGGTTACATACGCTTCAGGTTACAGACTCCGCTAACCCAGAAATAGTGCTTCAGGTTAAGAACTTTGCTTCAGGATGAGAACAGAAATCGTGCTCCGGCGGCGTGGCAGCAGCAGGAGGTCCCATTAGCTAAAGTGGTGCTTCAGGTTAAGAACAGTTTCAGGTTAAGTACGGACCTCCGGAACGAATTTAAGTACTTAACCCGAGGTACCACTGTACTGTTGTTCCATCTAGCCCAGTAATTGTGTACTTGCCATCACCAGCACAAGTGATTCGCTGCGTTCAGGCGCCAACCAAGCATTCTGGCTATGGCGCAGACTCTTCCCACCGTCGGTGCAGATCCTGCTTAATCGGAAAGTTGGTCATACATATAATATCACGCAATGATATTGGGGGTGGGCATGCAGTGAGCAGGTTTGCACATATGCCACAACGAGCCTCTACGGCTTGTCAGGAGGTACACATGCTTTTGCTCGTCTGGCAGAGATGAAAACACACAGGTAACAGTGCAGGTGAACCTGGGACGGTGGCGGATCTGCAGGGCACTCTTATTCAGGTTTACCTGGAAGCAAGTGTACCTAGCTCACTCACAGGCAAGTGTGTAGAGCAGAGAAAGGGATCCTGCTCTTGGGGTCAAGCTCCCATGAGCCTCAGTCAGGGACAGTGATATAAACTGTACTCTACTTACAATTTATACCATTGTCCCCTGACCCTTAGGCTATGCCTGTGAGAGGCATCCATGAAGCCCTCCGTGAAAGGAAGATGAGGAATAGGTAGCTCATACCATCAGCTCTTGAGCGGGAAGCTCACACTCTGAGACAATGTTGTGATTTGATATGGCATCCCTTTATTATTTTAGTATATATATTATTTTGAAATATTTTTTATTAAAGATTTACATGAACTACAGTGGATGCTCGGGTTGTGAATGTGATCCATGCAACACGTTCGCAACCCGCAGCGTCCGCAACCTGCAGTGCCATGGGTTGCGATTCGGCGCTTCTGTGCAAAGCGCAATTTAGTGCTTCTGTGCATGTGCAAGTGCCGAAACCCGGAAGTAACCCGTCCTGGTACTTGCAGGTTTGGTGCGGTGCACAACCCGAAATTACGCAGCCCAAAGCGTCTATAACCCGAGGTATGACTGTACAAAGAACGTGCAACGTCTCTTTTTTCTTTCTTGATCAGATTATAAAGTCTTTTGGTTACATTCAATGCAAAATGTATGATAGCCAAAGGTAGGGGAAAGAGGATAAACCTACACACTATCTCGTCGTTTTTGTCAACTTGGTACGTACATGGGGCTTTTATGTTGGTGTCAGTTGAGTAGGTTTTCTTTCTGTATATTTATTGGTTTACATAGATGCTGAGAGAACATTGGGGGCCAGGGTGTTTTTATTTGCCTTTTATTGCCTCTGATGAACTGTAGTGAGCTTTGCTTGCGGTTGCAGAAGGAGGGGGATGAAATACTAGGTCAAGTTAGCCATATTGATCTGTATGCTGTTGGTAGATCCCTGCTATCACTGTTGTCAGTTTGAGCTGTGTGTGAAATAAAAGGGAGCCATACCAAGGTGAAGATGTTCTCTTTCTTTTGTCCTCGTGTCAGTTTGTTTGTCAGTTAACTTTTCTAATAAGGCCGTTTCCCATACAATTTGGTACCAATGGACCGTACTTACTCCAGACAAGTCTCTCCAGTGTCTGTCTATGACGTTTCTGGCTGTTGAGAGTAGGTGTAAGTCTTGGAAAATATTTAACAGGGTCAATTCTGGAGTGGGTTCCAATACCTGCTTAGTTATGTTACATATTTTTTGTAGGACTGCTGTCCAAAAGGGTTGGATTTGAGGACATTCCCATCACATGTGAAGGTATGTGCCTGTGGAGGAACAGCTTCTCCACCATTTTGGTAAGGTTCCTGGATGCATTGACGCCAATTTCTTCAGTGTCAGCTGCCATCTATAGATACCATATTTTTCTGTGTATAAGACGCCCCCATGTATAAGACGCCCCCTATTTTTTTAGCCCGAAATTAAGAAATAATTAATTGCAACATTACGTGTACAAGACAACCCCCCCAATTTTAAACTTTAAAAATTTGGAAAAAATATAGTCTTATACACGGAAAAATACAGTAAGTTTCAAAGTGAGCTTCCCTTCTTTTGGCTGAGATGGATTTAGAGGAAGGTTTGGACCAAATTGTGGTCCACTGGGTAATTTCTTTCGTAACCTTAATTTTAATGGTGGCTTGCAACAAAAGGAAGTTAGTGCAACAGGTTCCCCATCCCTGCAGTGTAGAGAAGTAGTCACATTGCTGCAGATGACCCCTTCCTTCCTCCTTGAAAACATATTCTACAAACACCAATGAAGTGGTTTCAGAAACAAGCCGAACAAAGCCAGCCATCATCATCTATCACCCCAGCTGCAAAACAGTCCATCAAGACTTTATTATGTGAAAAACAGGCTTAGTGGGCACCATCATTGCATCATCCATGGTCAGTATTTTTACTGGCACCAGAAGTAACTTTATTTATTAAATGTATTTGTGCACCATTCTTCAACCAAAGGATTCCATGAACAACATAAATACATAATTAAATTATACTGTTAACAATGGGCAAGTCATTAAAAACATGCAGCCAACTAAAGCATTACAGAAATTAAAATGCCTGGGGTTTAAGCTAGCGTGGGGGAGGGGGACGTAATGAAGGTGCCAGGACCATCTAAGTCCAGTTTTTAATCATTTGCAGCCAATGGACATTGCTATATATCTTACAAAATTCATGACAGCTAAAGCAAGAGTAAGCTAAACAGATAACACATTTTCACTTCTTTAGGGAGGGTATTGCATAATTGGGGTGCCACTATCAAAGATGGTCCATCTACAAACAATTAAGAAGAGATTTACACATTCACAGAATGCAGGTGTTTGGAAATACAGGCTGCCAGATTCTGGAAATGATAAACGTGTCATGACTTGGGTTTTGGCAATTCTGTGAGCACAGCTACAAGCAGAGAAAATGAGCCTGTCGATTCCAACTCCCAGCATCCTTGAACATTGGCCACACTGTCTGGGGCTGATGGGAATTGGTGTCCAACAAAATGGGGATGTCCACAGGTTCCTCATGCTTGACTTATAAAGGTAAAGGTAAAGGGACCCCTGACCATTAGGTCCAGTCGTGGCCGACTCTGGGGTTGCGGCGCTCATCTCGCTACATTGGCCAAGGGAGCAGGCATACAGCTTCCGGGTCATGTAAGCATGACGAAGCCGCTTCTGGCAAACCAGAGCAGTGCACAGAAATGCCGTTTACCTTCCCACCGGAATGGTACCTATTTATCGACTTGCACTTTGACGTGCTTTCAAACTGCTAGGTTGGCAGGAGCAGGGACCGAGCAACAGGAGCTCACCCCGTCGCAGGGATTCGAACCGCCAACCTTCTGATCGGCAAGTCCTAGGCTCTGTGGTTTAGCCCACAAACAAAATGCTGAGGAGTATTTTTTAAAAATAATCAGGAAAACTGCACAGGCGTGCCTTTGATTTTCTGGCAATTGCCCTGAAACCGAAACCCAACCTAGCCCCATTTTTTCTGGTCTGCTGACAACCCTAGAAAACAGTGTCTTTCAGAGGAAAGGCAAAGATTAGCGGCTGTCCTTCATTTTAAACTCTCCCCCCCCCCCCCACACACACCTGAAGCATAGTAAGCAGATTACAGCTATACCAGCATCTATCATGTTGCAGCCTTGGGCTCCTTTGGGAAGAAGGGCAGGATGGAAAGCTAATAAATAAAATAAAAATGGATCAGGAAATTCCCAAGCAACTTACACTGACTTTGCTGTAGGCAGGAAAATCTGATTTGGTAAATCCATTCTTTGTTGCAGAGAACCTGGAGAATTCACCTCCCATTTACTTATTGTGTAGAACAACAGCATCTAATAAGACGATCACCGTGTGCCATTTTCGAAGTCTCGCTCTCGTACACAGATAGGCTTTTGGAAAGCACCTAATCCCCTCGGAAGCTTTTGCAGCAAGCAGACGGGAAAGAGGGCAATATGTTGGCATAGCAGGTTCTTAACTCATCAGCTATGCCAACATCTTGCCTCCCCTCCAGCTCTGAACAAAGGAAATCCTTGTCAAATGGCTACCGCACGAACACACAATCCTTTATTGAAGGTTGCTTGGCCTAGAAAGAGAAAGAAGATACATTTACCATACAACAGCAAGCCAACAAACCTGTAAGCATTAAGTACAGACACAGAGACAAACCTAGTTTATAGCCAAATGGCGTTAATGGGACCAATTATGTATCTGACAAGGCTTAATCATTAACTGTTAATGGGATGCTTTCTAAGGTTCTGATGCAGGAACTGCAATTCTGACTTTGAACTGAGAGCCTGATAACAGTTCCCTGCCAAACAGGTCTATGCCACAAGGTCCAGTACTAAGTTAAGGTTATAAATTTATAAGATTAAGTTCCAGAACTGAAGTTTGGCTTTTTCTGTCCTGCTTCACCAATAGGCACAGATGCCGGGAGGCAGCAAAACGAGATTAAGATTGGATTGCAGAGCAACTGTGAAAATAACACCAGGCAGCAAACTCTGCTTTCTAAGGCTAATACAGTGTGACACATATCTGCTCTTATCCATTTCCAGTCGATAAATTCCTTTCCCCACCTATGGGGAAATCAATGTCCCCTTCCCCGTCCACCTCATTTTCAGAAACATTGTTTACATAAGTCGGGGAGAAAAATAGCATTTATCTAAAATATTTAAAGTCTCTAGGGGGTAGGAAAAAAATGCCTGATAGAAGAAAAAGATAATTATATAAACAGATTTTAAACCCAAAGAGCAATCAAGTCGCAATAGGGTCCAATCCTACAAGAGAGCTGGGGGTGGGAGATATGTTTTTGTAAGATATATGAAGCAACTGACTGATGATGCTCCATGTATTTACCGAAAAGTTTCAGGGAGGGAGGTAATGGCCTTATTTAACCAAGTAATGATACACCATATTTTTGTGATTTTCACATAAGACATCTCTGCTAAATATTGAGGAAGCAGCCCTAACCTCCACTAAATTATATAGGATTTACCTCTGAGTAGACATGGTTAGGATTCCAGTGTTAGCCAACTAAAACCAAACACACTGTGGCAGCCAAGCATAAATTCAGTATACCTTCTGTATTTTAAACTGCCAAAATATTTTGTTGGTACTGAAAAGAATTAATGAACATATGGAAGTATCCGATGTCAACTCTGATTATTAGTGGGGAGGAAATAGATTTCTCTTCTTTTCCAACATCTGCACATTTCCCAGAGAAGTGCATTGCTTTAATTATTCTTATCAAGAGAAGAAGTGAAAGTCCTTCCACCTGCATGAACGAAGGGAGGGCGACAGTACAGAACAGCACTTTCCAGGGGAAAATATTTTCTGGCCTCTCTTTTGCAGTGACTTGAGGTGCCCCATTCATTTCCACCTGCCTGCTTCTTGAACACCGTGCACCTGCAGGATGTGTGCTGGCTGCATTAAATTACAAACTATTAAAAATCAGATTTAATTAAACTACAGATAAGCAACAGCTTCTGAAGTTTCAGGGCAGCACAAAAACCAGAGATGATTCCACGTGTATAGACTGGTGATATCCTCAAAAATAATGCCAGAGGTGTGTTTGTTGGTTTGATTTTTGCTTTCTAAATGTGAAAATCCTTCGGGGGCTGTTCTATCTCAGCGATTAGCACAGAGTGTGCATATTCAGACGTTTTACAGTAGAGCAGGGCTTGTATAATTATTGTGGCAAACCATTTCCCTAAGGCTGTGTCTGCACCCAGATTGGCTCTCCTGGAAAAGTTTTCCCACTATCACACACACACACACAAACCATCTTAATTCTAGAAATGGCGTCAGTCGTGGGAGCCCTCGCATTCTGCTGCCGGCACTCCTTGGGCGCCATTGTCTAAACCTGCTTAGAACAGATTTACACAATAATGGGATGGTCAGAAAAATGGGAAGGGGGAAGAGAGAAATTAATGTTCTATACAGCGAAACAACTCAGAACTGCAAGTTGCTGGAACCGGTCACGGTACCAGTGTAAGAATGAAGGTTCTTTAGTACGCTTGAGAAAGTGGTCAGAATTCAAATGCCTCTTTCATCAGAATCCACTGGCTGCAATTCTAAGAACACTTATTATGGAACAAGTCCCACAGAACACACTAGAGCTTACATCTGAGTAAAACAGAACACTGAACACAGTAGGACTTGTTTCTTAGAGGGGGGTTTTCTTCAACCCCCCCCAATTAATTCATTTATACCCCACCTTTTAAAATTACCTCACCAAGCAGCTATATCAGTAAAAATATCAAACACAGTAAATAATGTGCTGAATATGTCATTTATGTTCCAACTGTGGGAATGTTCAGGGTGGCAGAAGAGGATATATTGTTTATTAGTAACCTTCCTAACTTGCGCTAGCAAGTTCCTTTACTTAGCAGAGTTTATATTCCCCTTTTCATGCACAACGGATAGCTGGTTGCAGGCTTGTGTAAGCCTCTCACTATTATACAATTCAGTCTGTCTCAGATTGAATTGTATAGTTCCTGGTAAATTCCCTTTAATCCCTCTCAAAAGAATAAAGACACGAGAATCTTATTTAAAGTCAATAAAAGAAGTTTACTCACATCAGTTCACAGTTGGATTCCTGAAGGCAGACTTAGTTACAAATATTTACATGTGGATCTACCCCATATGGAGGTATAATCCCAGTGCTTATGCTAGCTGAGAAGCTAGCATAGCAGTCCTAGCTAAAAAGCTGGTCCAACAAAGAAGGAAGTCAAAGAGAGAGAATGCTGCGTGACTTGTCCTTTTTGTTACCTGGACAGGTAAGGTCACGCCCATCTTCTAGTCACATGCAAGGAAGGATGCTCCAGCCAGGAGGAACAGGAAGTTTCAACTGACAGGAGCAACATCCCCTTGCATGTCCACTCTAGGAAAAAAAGGAATGTTGTATTTGACTGCTCCCAGTGGATTGCATCCTACACCAACTCCCTGAAAGGCAAGATTCCAGGAACATTAAATATTCAAGAAATGCTTATCCAATGCAGATTCAGATCAACAGCTGAGATTGCAGGCCGATTTGTTGTTTTTAGGGAACGGTTGGGCATGAAGACCCCTCATTTGAATGTTCTACTGTGCTACAGTCACTTGGGAAATTCAGTGGACTTGGAAGATCTAAGAGGCAGTAAACTCGGATCTTGATTCGTGGCTCTAGTGAGGCAGAGCCCAGAAAAATGAGCCTTAAAAATAAATGTTGGTCGTCAGTATCCACCCTTAATCTTGAAGGACAGTCTAGATCATGGTTGGGCAGAAGGGAAACCAGAATCTACTGGTGGGTCTCTGGATCATTTGCAGTAGATTGTCAAGGATTCCCAATTATTTAACAACATTACACATGCTGCACGTATATCTAACTTAGATTCTGAAATGGAAAGAGCTAGGGTGACCAGTTGTTTTTCTTCCTGCATGGAAGGTCTGTGATCTCAGTTAATTTCTGGTATAAAGATTCCTGTGCTCAGTAGCTGCCAAGCCATGGGTGAAGTAATGCCTAGACCATCTCTTTCTAAACTCTAGAAAAAGGAGCTCCATGGCTTTGCAAGTACCTGGAACTAGCAAAACTGAGGGATATAATAAGGAGAAAATCCAAAACTATGGTTATAAAGCAATGGGAGTTCTTAAATGATTATTTACAAAACCAGGGCTCGACAAAAATCTGGTTGTGTTTAGAATAATCTTGTGCGTAATATAAAAAATACAAAGTGAGACATTAAGGAAATCCAAAGGGAAAATATGAAGAACAGAGGATCTGACGAACGGATTATTAAAAACACGTGAGGCAAACGGTGGAAGTCTTTTTTTTTTTTAAAAAAAAACAAACCACTTTATTTAAGGTAAATAAGGACAAGATGAAATTATACAATTGAATATAAATATAGATGGGATTTATCTACTTTAAAAAAATTTCACCCATTATTTTTCCTTTTACTTCTTTATTTTTTCTTAGTTCTTTTTTTCCCCCCTTTTTGCTGATATCTTTCATTTCACTCCTTTATTGTGAATAGCATTTTATAGAGGTATAAAATAACCGTAAATATGAAAAGAGACAAAGTATTCTCTAATTTCTTTCCTTGGTTATATGTATTTTCTTTTTCTTTTGTATTTTCTTTTGTTGTAAATATATATGTTTTCTAATTTGTACTTAAAATAATATTTTAAAAAGGAGCTCCACAGTTTCCCCAGTCATTTGGCCTTCTTGCCATACCTTAGCGTGCCTTAGTAGCTACAGAAACTGTGTCTTACTGGACAAATAATTGTACTGTTTCTGGACTCTGGGGGTCTTTTTTTTTTTAAGGAACATTTGGGATGTTTAAATTATGAGTGTCCCTGACCAACAGTTCTTGTATAGATGGCCATGGAATGCCAGAGCACATTGTGACAAATTGATCTGAAGATGCTGTTTGTATTGGAATGTCATTTTTACCCAGCCCCAAGTAACTTAACTCCAAGGGGGAAATGGGTGTACTGTATGTGAATATTCTTAATTATCCAAGGGCTCATTTTCTTTCACTCACCACCCCCAGTCATTGATCTTACTGTTTGACGGGCAACAGATAATTAAATGAATTAGAGGGCGCTGCAATTCCGGTACCAAAGACTGTGGGGTGGAAAATCTTCCACTTCGTAAATTCATTAGTAACAATAAATTGATGTCAAACAAAAATACAACATTAGGGAATACTAGTAAAATAAACATGCTAAATTAAATTACTCTGTAAAAAAAATTCCGATATGACAAAAAATCTGGTGTATGTTACCCTAATTTGCATAGGAATTTTTTCCAAAACAATGTTTTCTGGAAAACTCATTAAGCCACTTGTTACACTCAAAAACTATTGGGGTGCTGATTTTCATTCCCAGTAGGAAGCAAACAATAAACTAAGAATTGATAATTTTGAGCAGTCTTCTCTTCAGAGCTTACATGGAGCAAAGCCATTGAGTGTGATGATCAACCCAAGAATGCTGTTTTGATTGCTTTGCCATTTTAACTGTATTGTTTTATTGTATA